TATTTGGCTCGTCCGAACTTTCAGTGATGTTGAGAAGTGCGTTCGTCGTAGGTGCGTCCGGAGCTGTTGGAAAACAATTAGTTGACGCATTGGTTTCATCTCGTCAATTCAAAAAAATTCTCATTATCGGCAGAAGAGAAATTCAATTGAATCACGAGAATGTGGTAAGTCCGACCATCTACATCAACTTTCCTCCATTTCCTCAGCTTTATTGTAATGTAGTGGGGCGTATTAAATTCTGTCAATATACCTGAGAAGTTACAATAATACTTGAGTAGTTTCTGAAGCACCGAACTGTTTCCGAAGATCACTAAACTCCTACAGGCCCGCTGAAGCCGCAAAAACCTTTTTTTGAAGAAAAGAGCCCGCTCACGCTTACAGGACCTTACTTATTAGGCTCTTTGAAGAAATCAACAATATTCTCCCCCCCCTCCCCTCTCGTACTACACTAGTGCTCGAATACCTTTACTCCGTGCATTGAAATGCCCCACCCTATTGAAGTACCGCTGGCTACTCATCCAACCTCGTAATGGCAGCTGAAGGTTCCAAATCGTCCTTCTGGTTAAGAGCACATTTCCAGATTAGCCATCAAAAACGTCGTAGGCAGCGAGGTGAAAATAGTAGCGCATGTGTCAGTAGACTTGTACGTGAAGAAAAGAGCGGAGGAAGCATTCAGAGACGTCCTAAATAAGGCCCTCCCTATTATGGACGAGAGGCGAAGATTCGTCAGCATTTGGGGCGAGAGACCAGACAAACGTAGCGAAAGAGTACTTAAATGAGCGAGACGGCATACATTAACACGGGGCGGAGTCACGGGCGCACAGAAGGAGCCTCTTGGGAAACGTAATGTTCTAACGCCCTTTTCTTACTAGATCCGAAACTGGTACATGGTTGTCCATTGCGGCGTACACTACCCTTTTCCATATTTGGTTTGGTTTTTACGAATGATCGCGAAATGTGACTTTAAGTTCACAGCAGAAACGAGTTCCCGCTGCAGAGCCCTTTACTCTGTAAATGCGCATCAGAGATTATCCTCGCTGCGGTGCTCATGACGCTGGTATTTCTTTTACCCTTCGAGAGGTCCTTATCCGTAATTCTCATTAAAATAAAAGCAAATGAAATTGCAACTATTTGGCGCTAAATATTGCCAAACTCTCAGTCGCATCACCGTAAGGGCCTCAGGCCCCTGACCAGAGATTTCGGCTTTCTCTATGTAGCTTTCCGGGCCGGGAAATGCCCTGAGGAAAGGGCATAATATGTGTAAAGTATAGGTGTGTGTAAAAATAAACGTGTAAACTAAAGTGCAGAAGGATGCCTTGTGAAAACAAATGAATATGAAGGCCTACCTGCCCTTGAGTAATTGAGAGCATGACCACTTAGACACCAAAGAACAGATTTTTCACTATTTTCCGCTTCCGCTTCTTCCTCAAGGTCGCAGAAGAGGGAAACAGAGGAAATTGTTCTTGTCACCACCACCGAAATCTTTTATGTCCTTTCAACTAATAGGTGTAAAAGCCTCAAAATGATTAATAGGTGAGTTTACCTCAGACTAAATCTGGCTTCAGGTAAAGTCTTATGATAACTGGGCGGTTACCAGTCTACTAGTGCAAAAAATCTCATCTTCATTACAGGAACAAAAAGTAATTGACTTCGACGCCATTGAAAACCATGCTGATATTTTCAAAGATATTGATGTTGGATTTTGTGCTCTTGGAACGACTCGTGCTAAATCAGGGAAAGTGAGTTCTTTACTACCAGTTCACACTGTTTTCTTAATATCTATTGCTTTCCCTTTTTTTGATATAGTAGAGATAACAGCCAACTGCTAGAGTTATTGAGAGAGACCGGTATTTATGGGTTCGAGGGAATATTTTTCAGAGTAGGGTTTTAGGCATTTCCTTATTCTAGGTCTGCTGTTCCCAAACTCCCTCCCACTTGCCGGTTCTGTTCACTGTTTTCTACAGTAAATTGGTGAGCTCCCTCCTACTCCCCCCCCCCCTCGCTACATGGAAGGTTTTGTGTAGCATTTGATGACTGTGTGAATTAGGGGAGGGGAGTGGGAGTCGTATTGAAGAACTGTCCAAATCGCAATGTGTCCTGTCCACTGCAGTCCCATTCCTGTTCTCCGCTGCTTCTGGGAAATATCGTATTCCGATCATTTTTAGTGATATCTTGTACTTGTTACTTTTGTTACTTTGGAAAAATACTTCCTGAGAGTTGTTCCATTTTTTTTTAGGAGGGATTCTATAAAGTGGATCACGAT